ACGCTGTAATTCTACTTAGTGGAGCTGTGCATGGCTCCCTGGTGCCTGCCCCGGACTTGGTGGTGCTGTGGCCGGGATTTGCACCTTCTAGCTTGGGCAGTGGAGCTGTCCTTGGTCTGTGCATCCGTAGCCAGGGACTGTTTGTTTGTTTGTTTGTTTATTTATTTATGGAAAGTCACATTGTTATCGCAATATTCAAGATTATTGCATATCGCATGTTTTCCTAATATTGTACAGCTCTAGTTAAAATTAAAGTGAATTTTGGGCCTTCCTTTGCAGGTTGACAACAACAAATAAATGCAAATTCTATTTTATGTTTGAGCGATGTATAAATCAGCTTGTCAAGCAGAACCCAGGCGGATTGGACTGATAGTGCTAAATTTCCCTCAGGATGAAAGAAGTATCTCCATTCATCTATCCATGTTCACAATTTTAACCTTTATACAGTATGACACTGATTCATTCACACTGCCCCAAAGTGGCCAAAAGGTTGACTTGATGACACCAGTGGTTAAAGAAAAATGTTGTAGAAAAACTGTAACTTAATAATGAAAGCACATTTGATGTTTTTTTACTTGAATTGTATTGGATTTGACTGCAGCGCAGTTTACCCCTGAAACTCCAAGAGCCTGATCTAACTAAAGGTTTGCGCATGTAAAAACATGTCCAAACTTGATTTCACACGCAAAAAAACATGCATGCTGATCTACTAACGTTGCGCACTGAGGATTGCATGCAGAATAACATGCACTGTTCATTTAGTACGTTTCCCTTAATGAATATGCAATATCAGGCGTATCTATCCGAGTGCGCAAAATATTGGGAAGAGTAGATACAAATACTTTAATTTAAGACACGCAATGTGATTTTCACAGCCTGAAAAAACTGCGTCTATATTAAGTACGTTTGAACGGTAGGTGCTAATCGTCACAGCATTACGCACAGATGGCTGCAGTTATTGTGGTGAGGAGATGGGATGGAAGAAGACAGAGAGAGCAGTTTTTTCAGTTCGTGTTAGCATGTTTGGATTGACAGAAGCAAAAATAATCCCTCTCTTGCCGGGTCACTGATGGCCATCATCATACCAGATACAGCACTGATCAGCTGCCTGGTGCACGCTCCATGTGAGCTACAATGGCCCGGGTGTGTTGCCTGAGCGCTTGTGCCACAGAGGACACAGCTCTCACCTCCTGCACAATATTGGTCAGAGGCATCTCTTCCACCAGCCCCCCACCTGTTTTATTTGCCAAGCTCTTATTATGAACAATTTTTTCTTTTGTTCTTCTTTTATCCTGCCATCTTTTCTTAATTTCATTTGTGTTTGTTTTACCCACAGCATTCATTTTCTCGCAGACACTCTCCCATGTCACATTTCTTTGAGTTATATTATTTCTTTGCTGTAGATCGACAACATGTTTGTTTTCCTCTTACACTAACAACTCCAATGCCATGGCAATAAATTTCCCTTTGCACTTAGGGTCACTCTGCTCTCCATGGCGGAAACCAGTAAAGCATGCAAAACCCTCTTTTAAATACCACTGATTCTACCACTTTGCACCTGTTATCTTTTGCGCAATTATATTTAGTAGATTATCGCCAAAACGCCCACCAATCAAACATGCAATCTGTTATAATGCACATGCAATTGAGCACTCTTTATTTGGGATCTAGATTGGGCCTGAAGTGTTTTGTGGACTCAAACACTTCACCCACCTCTCCCTTAGCATCTTATAAAGCTGATGTTCCAATGGCTGCGCACATGCTTGTTGTTGGCCACCGCTATGGAGATTGCCTCTGCAACTGTTGTCAGCCCCTGCTCATATGGCCAGTGGTAGTGGCCCACCTCCAGAATTTTCCTTTTCCTTTCCTGGGGCACAGAGGACATGCTTGAGAATCACTCTTGCCCCAGACATGGTAAATATCTGTAGACCTCTGTGATAAAACTTTGCTGTGGGGCACAAATCAAGGCAAGCATATAAAACCATTTCTAAAGCTTTGACTGTCCCCAGGAGTAAATTGCCCTACATAATTTTGAAATGGAATAAGTTTAGAACCACTAGGACTCCTAAAATTGGCTGTCTGCTCTAAAAAGTAACAGGTCAAGAAGGGCCTTAGTTAGGGAGGTTAAGAGAGACACTTAAGTAAATGACATGATGGCCCACTTGTGTGTCAAAACAGCAAAACTGCTTCCTCTGAGAGCATGAACATAGAAAAAATTTGTGTATATATATATATTCTAATGAGACCAAAATTGAATCCTTTGAGCCAAACTCTAATTACTATGCTTGGCAAACCCCAGACATGCCTCTTAAACTGGCCAATACAACCAGCATCATTCTATGGGGGGCAGGGTGACTAATCAGAGCCGAAGGAATTATGATTGAAGCAAGAGACATCCATGATGGAAAGCTGCTCGACAAATGCATATGACCCCATCCTAGAGCAACAGAGCAAAGTTCAGTAAGACACTGAACTGAAACATTCTTCAAAGACAATGCTGCAATAGCTTTGGGACAAGTGTTCAAATATCTTTCAGTGGCTAATTAAAGTCCACACTTAAACCCGAAGGAACATCTGTTAGACACCTGGTAATGGCAGTTCATTGTCTCTTGCCATCCAATCTAATGGTACTTGAGTGAATAGGACAGAAAGGGAAACATTCAAATTCAGGTGTGCAAAACTTGTAGCGGCTCACCTAAGAAGACAAGTAGGTATTCCATAGTTTCTGCCAATGGTTCTTCTAAAATTAACTGAATTAATAGTCTGAATAGTGTAAGCAATTACAAATGTCAGTGTCTGATTTCTAACAAATAAACAAATGGGTCTCCAAAGTAAATAGGCCTCAATACTTTCTGCAGCCACTGAACATTACATTACCCCACACACTACATTTCCTGCTGCTGTTTCACAACTTTGCCTGTTGAATGTGTTTAATGTTGCATCATTAGAAAATGCTCACTTTGCTTATCAGCAACAAATATAATTCTCACACAGATGTAGAAGAGCGATCAGTAAGCAGGGTGCCTTATATCTATGAGACATAATTATGAATAGTAACACTGGATGCATGCGTCATTTACTTTAAATCCCTTGAGCGTGTTTTGGCAATTTGAATTCTACACAAGAAAAGCTGACTCTTCCAGACAGATTGAAACCCACAGAAAGAATGAAAATGACATTATAAAAAATATAATGACTAAATGCTGATTGAATGGCTACTGGAAGAACAGTGTACAGTGTTTCCCATTAATTACATAGACCAGGCGGCCAGCCATAGTCTCACCGTTTTCATAATAAGGCACTTCTCATGATAACATATAAGATGTCCGACTTAATATTTTGCACTATTGCTTCATTATGGAGCTGTTTTCAGCTTTTCACTCTTGCTTGCTTTCTCTCCCTCTCTCTTTCTCTCCATCTCAAAAACACAATGACCCGTCTGTCACAGTTGGGCAATTAAAACAAAAAAGTTTTCACCATCCTTGCAGGCAGACAGACCATCTCATGACACCAGTGGTATTATCTTTAGTTGTGTGCATTCCCATACCAAATTCTCAGCAGGCAGGTAGACCTAAGCCCAACACCTGCCCTCTATGTTGCTTCACAATCTCTTTGAAAAGGTGGCCAAGGAAGCTGCCTTGAATAGTATATAAATATATTTTAAAAATCTAATAGAAGTAAAAGTGATGTTTATCAAATAGGCTGGTACATATAAATCACTATTATGGTAATTTTGCCCAACCAGATTTCATAAAACTGTGTTCGAGTAAAGGGGTTGGGTACTGAACTCTGTTCTTTTAAGGGTACCGACCGAATTACGTCGGTACTACTGGTTACTGAGTTACGTTAAATCAATCAGAGCCAAATTTCAGTGCTCAGTTCTGTGAGCTGCCTCACAGGCACACAGGCACTCAATTTTAGGAAAAACCTTGTTCTGACATTGTTTTCTTTATGCAGAGTAAAGTAACGAAAAAAAGTACTGATGGGTCCTGGTATCAGTTCAAATGTAAACAGTACCCAAGCCCAATAAGAACATACTGCCTTAGAGAATCAAACATTTGGCATTGTCTTTCCATGTGAGCTTGAATTTCCTGAGCGTTGAAGTTTACTATTCTGAAACGCCAATCCACTTGCTGTGGCCCACATTTGTTGGTTTGTCTATAAATTTATGGTGAGTAGAATTAAATTCCCTTGTTGAAAGATACAGAATTAGTGAGTGCTTGCTCTGGGGCATTCATTTATTTTTTGGATTAGTTTCAACATGGCCAATTAATTCTTGATATAATTGATCACATTTTTTCAATAAATTCCATTAACTTTTAGCCTGAGGCCAGACAAAACAGAAGCACCAAACACAAATGCTATCATCAACGGCTGCTGCCAATTTAAATTAGAGACAGTGCTGTTAATCAAGCTGTGTACAATAATGCACCTAAACAACAGATCAACAGGGCTTACTTCTTATTATTTGTTTGGTTTATTGGCGGGTAGCAAGCAACATCATGGTGCATTGCTACCATCAACAACTGTGCCCTGAACAATTTAATACTGAACCAAGAAATGCCACCCTGTTATATCATGGTGCCACTCCAAAGAAATCCAAACATTTGTTAGCTGGTGTGATAGTTTTGTAAAGCTGTTTAGTTGATCAAGCTAAATACACAACTTTCATGGTCTCATGGACAGGTCTCATAAATCAAAAGTTGCCATGTCTTTCTTTGTCTACCATCAGCTTTTTACATTTTAATGCTGGGGTTTACAAGTGCAGAAACTTGTATTAAGGACTTGTTGTAAGCTTTGGCTGATAGTCAAGATGTTGCCCTAGCAGCAGTGCAACCTGCCCCCTACCCCACCCCCACACACCCCCACACCCAGAGAGAGAAGCAGAGTCTGTGTGTGTGTATGTGTGTGTGAGAGCGCGCACACTCTCCTGTTTCAGTACACATCGCCCAACTGTATTTCTGGTAGTGTAGCATATTGCCATCAGTTCTGTCCATTACCTTTGGTCTTGTCTTTCATGCCCTTCCCTCCTCTCTCTCTTATATTCTTCTTTCACAAGCGTCTTCATAGTTTCCTGCCACTGTGCAAGACATATCTGCATTGCAGTGCCATGAGGGAAAGCCGCTGCTTGAGAGAAAAAGTGAATGAATAGCTAGAAACAGGAATGCAAAAAAGAAGAACTGAGAATAAGGAGGTCTGACCTGTCATTTAGGCTACTCAAATAATGGATGTCTGAGTGACAGAAAAACATCACTTGATGCATCATTTGGTATATTTCACCACCATGGTTTTATTTTTTTCTGCCTTTGAAGCATGCCCATTTAACCCCCCCCCACAAAAAAAAAATCTAATACAAACACAACGATTTGCACCTCAAAGTGCTGTCACAGGAAAATCACAGAGAGGGTCATCCACCCCCACCTCCCTGCGTGCCTCTGAGCCTCCCTGTTATTAATGGCGTCATCATTTTTCCTCTGCTCACTCTATTTCCCTTCTGATAGTAGGGCCTGCTTCATCGTGTTCTGCCATGTTTCTGTAATTGCTCCAACAGCCTGCCTTATGCTGAGCATATAGTTTTTTTTGTGCGCGCACGTGTGTGTGTGTGTGTGTGTGTGTGTGTGTGTGCGCCCATTCAGTGCGCATGTGTGTCTGTTAGTGCGTGCATATGCATGTGTGCGAGTTGCACTGTCCCCCCACCAGGGCCAGCTGTGAGTTTGTGGGGCAGAACCAAGCCGCAGGCGAGCTCCACACAGAGCAAAATGACAGCCTCCAGGCCACCATTGGTTGATGACCGTGAAAACACTTGCGGTTAACGTAAAGTGAGCAACCGGCTGTCACAGTGAGGCACCGTGCTCATGTACAGCCCTGACAACTGCACAACAAGCCCCTCTATGACTAGACTCTGCAGTGCTGCAACAAACGGCAAAGGGACAGCCCTACAATTCACAACAGCAACCACTTCAGACATTTGAACTACACAGAGTGTGAGGAGCAAGACACAACCACTACTATTTGACAGTGTTTGGGAATGGTTTTTCTTTACTTAAATTATGGTGGCCAAGGGAGAAAGCTGAGGCTGACGGTTGAAAGAAGCAGAGGAATTAAGCCTGCAGGAAAGAATGCCTAGATTGTCACAGATGCCAGCCAAGGTCAGATAAAGTGAGGAGTAAGTGCTTTGAGAGATACAGGAGCATAGGCCAACTCTGTGGAGGAGGAGTGAAGGAGCGAGTGACCAAGCGTGAGCACCACCTCCTCTACCCATCATTAAATGAAGCCACTTAAAGGGAAAAAGAGCTCTGTTCAAAAAAGTCAATACACGGCACTTCACACACTCATGATGGTTTTATTCGGCCATCTGGAGAATACTTATGTCTTTGGTAGAGACACAAAATGTTATAAATATGTTTCTGAAACTGCCTTGCTCAGAACCCTGCATTTTGGCTCATTTGAATTGCTTAATCTATCACATTTCTAACAGCAAACAGGTTTCTGAGGTTACACTGAGGAACAATAAATGATGTGCCGAAATAGGGAGGATTACAAAGTGGGTTTATTCCATTAATTTGAACCTCTTTGTGGTTAAATCAGACTTTTTACCCCCTGCCCTCTTGCAGTACTTTCTTAGCTCCTCTCACTCACTCCGAACACAAAAACGTGTGCCGTGCACACACACAAACACAGTTTATTATGCAGTAACATTACCAGATCCCCTTAGGCAGCTGTGCATCTCTGTATGACTGATGAGGGTAATTTCTCCCAAACAACAGAATGATCACTTTGGTGTTGAGCAGACCCTCCCTCTTCCCCTGTCTTCCCTCTCTCCTGTCTTCTTTTTAGCTTGTAACAAAAAAGGCAAGCAAAACAAAGATATATCTTACTACGTCTCCTGCAGTGTCTCGAACGGCTCCAGAGATAAATACTTCTCTCACCATATACATACAAATAAAAGAATTAAATAAAAGTGAATCATTCTGTGTATTCAATCAGCATATTGATTCTTCAATGATGATTCCCATTCAAACTGCTAATAAAAGCCATTCAAATCCACATTTCATTTTCTTGGTTGGCGATGGGGTGGAGGGGGTTTCCTTATTTTTTCTTTTATTACCACAGGGATCCAATATAATACACATGCCACTGTGAATTAACCTCAGTGTAAGGACTGAGCCAATCCACAATGAGTTTATACTGTCTGCATCATGGGATATACTGTGCAGAGAGTAGTTAGAACTTGTCTACCTCTCCCTTGGCCTCATAGGTTCAGCCTCAGTGGGCTGTCTTTACCTATTCTCCCATCTGTCAGTCACACACAAAAACAAATCCACCTGTCGGCCAGGAGACTGGACTGAACGGGGCGATGCTACAGCTGTCTGGGCCAGACTTGGTGCAGAAGGGAGCCAGCCAGCGCCCTCCACTGGTGATTGAAAGCCCATTAAGATGCTTATTACCCCAGCTTTCAGCCCCATCTCCTCACCTGCACAGACGCCAGACTAATGAAGACAGTCACTAGTAATACAGCAACTTGAACATAGAAGTCATGCCTCTATGCTTTTTGTGGTCCTTGTGTCCTTGATCACAAGGGCTCTACAGCCTTGACAATATAACAACCCAAGCGTTAAGAGACAGACATTCTTACCGCGCCACTTGATTGCCTCAACAATGAAGCTATTAATGCTGCATTATGTAAATTGTAATGGTCACAAACATCTAATAGGATAAAGGCTAAGTACAGAGCAATTTAATGCTGCTGACTTTCAGAGGCTCTTTGAAGGATGTCTTCAATTATAACTGAGCTAATTTAATTCATTGTTTCGTAGCTGAAAATGCATTTTTAAGGGTTGACTGAGTCTCTATTTCAAAACTCAGGTTTAATCAGTCAAGTACATTGAACACTGGAACGTCCTCTAAAGAGATTGACAAAGTTGCCCGGGATCTATGTTCTAGGTTTTAAAGGAACACAGTAGCCCTACCCTCCTCTTTTCCTCAGATGACAGGCTTCAGTTGTGGAGGGGAGGGTGTTCATCTAAAAGATGAAAAGACCTGCGCCTTTAAGAGGGCTGTCTCCCCTTTCCCTCATGCTCCCCCTCAACCACACAGACACTCCTCCTGTGAGCATTTGTGAGGCAGCTCCTGTCCCTTATGTCTCTTTGTGGGGAACAGAACAGACTTTCCAGAGCATCACTGGAGACAAGACAGAGCTCCAGGGAGGAAACACCAGGTGTCGACCTCCATGCAAACCTGACCTCAACTTCAGTGGATGCCAGGATGAGCGGAGAGGAGGAGAGGAGAGGAGACGGAAACATACTCAAGCTTGAGTAAAACATCTAGGAGTCCAAAATAGGAGGTGGACTCTTAACAGCTGGACAACCCGAGGTCAGTTTTGAGTTGAAAGCGACATGATCAGCAGATCAAAATCAACAACGCAGGACTGCAACGCAAAGAAACAGGTGGAGTTTTAATTTGAGCTTCTCTGTAGAAAAGTTTTTTCAACAAAGTACTCCATATCTTTTGCAGCTATTGCAATTAAAAGCACTATATGAAATACATACAAACGAAGGAAAGAGGAGTCATTTTTTAATTTTTTTCTATCCGTCTCCTGAGCACTTTCCATACAGTCATTTGTGGTATGAAATTGAGATACTCTTTAAAGAACATCTTGAATGGTCCCGACAGTGCTCTTAATTCACCAGCCAGGCGTTTATCTTATTTCTTCAGCTCCTTCTGAGAGGGAGCATTAAAGACTTCATTGATAGTGCTCTCGGGGAGCGGGTAATATTTCTTATGTGAAGTCTGAAACTTTAAAGCTATTGACTGGAGGGAGAGAGAAGTGCCACATACATAAGAAAATTATGTTGAGCTGCTTCCAAGAGTGCGTCTTGACTAACACTGCAGTAGAGCATTGAGGACAGTAGAAATGTTCACAGGGTGTGGAGTGGTCACTGGCCAGAACCAGTACCTGACCAGAGACGCCATCAGGTCCAACCCAGAACTTGAGGTGAGCAGACAGATACAAATGGAAAATGGGATGACCTCAGGCACGTGCACCTTCTACCAGGGTCAAAGTTGCAGAAATGTTGGCCAACCAGCAGTGGTCAATGTTTCCAGCCCGCTGAAGCAAGCACCACTACCAGTCCCTCCTCCAGCACTAAAACTTGGGCAGGAGGGGTTCAAGAAAGTCTGCCGAACTGAAGAGGACAGTCCCTGTCCCTTCCCAGGATTGGCTTCTGGGGTGCTGGAAATGCGTGTGAAGGAGGGAAGTAAAATCCGCAACTTAATGGGATTTGCTATGGCACGCATGCAGGGAGAGAAGTGTTTAAGTGGTGGCGGACTGAGGCAGGTGGTCTTCACTGGGTCAGGCCGTGCTGTCACAAAGACCATCACCTGTGCTGAAATCATGAAACGAAAAGTGGGCTCTCTGCACCAGCTGACTAAACTCCGTTACAAGGTGGTCAAAGAGGTGTGGGAGAGTTCTGAAGGGGGGGCATCTGAGATGACGGTGCACAGGACTGTGCCTTCCATCAGCATTCTTCTTTCCAAAGACCCGCTGGATCCCCAAGAACCAGGCTATCAACCTCCCGAGACCCTCACTGCATTGTGGGAGGAAAAAGAGGGTGTCGAATCTGCTTCACAGACAGCATGCAAGAGACCTCTTGGACCTTTGCCATACAGCAGTTTCACTCACTGTAAGAGAGTGTGTTTGGGGGAAGGGGTCTCAGTTCTCCCTCCTCACTGACTGGCTGAATGGGTGTCAAACAGTGGAGCGGATTGAATCAGAGGAGTTCATTTGGAGCTGCCCTCCACTCAAGCACAATGCTGAGACAATCAGAACATTCACTCAGACAGAACAGTGCTTTTTCAGAAGAACTGAGTACCAATTCCAGCCTCCAGAGGTCAGTTTGACTGGGACGTAAAAGCTTGCCTCTGTACATACAGCATTTAAGGGATGTCTTTCTCGGCACATCCAACAGAATCTCTCAAAGCCACAAAACGGTGATGATGAGTGCTATCGTGCTATAACATCTTTAGCAGATTCATAGCCCATTTCACACAAACTAAAGAAAGAGCCATGAATTGCACAGGTTGCAGTAAACTGTCTATGGCCTGTGGACGAAATCATTTAGTAACATCACGTTACAATCATCTCTATTCCTCCATGCACTTTAGTGTGGTCTTTGAAAATACACTGTAGAACCAACAACATTAAGTAAAAGCAGATTGAAGCCATTGATGAATTGAATAATGCAAAACACACCAATTTTATTTGTCTGATTATTAACTCTCATTAAAATGTTAAAATAAATAGTTGTTTTTTTTCTAAAGGAAACTTCGTTTTGTATTCCATTCTGTCTTTCTTAAACATTATTGAATTTGAGAGGCTCTGATTGAACAGAAAATCACAGTGTGCTGATCTTTTGATAAAAATAACGGCAGTGAAATTTGTCAGTATAAAAAGCAGATTTAATGACAAAGCTGTTGATAAGGCACAGCTCCTAAACCAACCCAGCCTGACAGAAATGCCTAGAGCAGAAATACAAGCACAGATAATCATTAAGATAACAACATAACATCACACAACACAGTGGAGAAAAGGATTAATACTAGGCTTGACAGAGCTTCACACTACAGTTCCTGCAAATATAAAATCAAGGCAACGTGCTACACTTCTTCCCCTTGCAGCCTATAGGCCTACCCACCCATCACATCTATTGTATAGTGTAGTCTACCTCTGCCATTTGTTTCAGGCAATATAATATGCTGAACAATGTCATCTTAAAAGAACCAAGTTTTAAAGGCAACACCATAGACTAAAGGTATCTCTGAGTAATTGCTGGAGCTTAACTGGATGCTGCAGACATGTATGGCAATTGGATCAAAATCAACAGAATGCAGCGGTGAAAAAAAAAAAAAAAAAAAAAAACAGCTAGAAGTGCACATATTGAATTTTATGGATTAAAGATTTCTACATATATTTCTTGAAAATTTGCTCTAAAACAAGACAAACAAAATAAACCTCCCTAAGTCTAGATATATCCAAATACTTAAGAACTTTCCACTTAATCAACCACGTCTTCTGGGGATGATAACTTAGACAAGTGGGACCTTGTCTGAAGCTTTTAGTGTTGATCTTAATGAAAATCTGCAAATGCAGATATCTGCCTCCAAAAGTAAATTAATCAAAGTGACTCCTAACAGGGGAGACAATTCTATTACAGCTTAGAGAGAAAAAAGGACAATTCACTCGTGGCATTTCTGTTCAAATTCTTTCAAAGGAATACAAATGGTAATATTTCATATAGTGGTCAGCCAGCACTTTACCCATCTACGGCAGACATTGTGATTAACCTCCCTCTCAATCCCATTAAATGAATCAGAGCACAGCAGAGCACCCAAGGTTGAATAAGAAATGCTGCCACTGCAATACAGCACATATGTGGCAAACTGTGTCCTCGAGACTGCTGGAAGGTTATCACTTCAGGTCGTTGTTATCACAGAGTTAACAGCTTTCACCCAAGAGCCTGTGGGACAGTCAGTCCATGATGCAGGTCAAAAAGATAATGCTGCTATAAGTAAATTTTAAATCGACCCGCATCTGTTATCAAGCATTAAGAATTCTGGGCCAAGTGTAAAATGTAGTGGGGGTAATTAGGGATAACAGTATAGCGTACCTGACTGAGAGAATAGATAAAGCATACTGGCAAATGCATTATCCTGGAGTTAAATCCAATGTGGCTGGCACAAAATAGCATGGGAGAAGAGTCCAAGTGCATTATAAGAACGAGGACAAGGTTATTCAGAAGTTGAGAGTCCATTCTGCCAGTGATATTTGTTTTTAAAGATGCAGACGGTTGGGATTGTAGGGGATACAAACCTAGGCCTAAAATATACTATACTGAAAACTCTACTATAAGCACAGCGTAAATAAACCGAGTGCACAAACATTTTCAAACGCATGTTCTCTTTCCGTGAAACAGGCCAAGTAGCTGCTTATATTTACTCTTGAAGGTGAAGTCAAAAAGAGGATGGACATAATAAAGATTTGGGTCAAGCATAGATTTTGTGGGTGTATTTTTGTTAGAAAACAGTGATCTTTTTTTTGTTGTAAAAAATGGATGTAGCATATTTAAGATTTCAGCAGAAAGTAGAACAAAAAAATCATTTTACTTTTCTTTTTTAATACTCATCTTGAAACATACTTATTAAACTATTAAATCTCTAAAAAGGGAACACAACATTATATTAACGCTGACCAATCTCAGTTATCTATCATGGCAGACACAACAGTAACCTTCTGTTTACCAAAGCCAATAACTGCATGCGCTGACTGTGAATAAATTCATTTTGAAGTTAACATAATGAAAGTGTTGGCACTCTTTTTTCCCCTTCTCTGCTGCTGCAGCAGATGAGAGTGAGGTCTCTAGGATGGCGTGGGAGTTCGCTATCTCCCAGCCTCCAGATGGTTCCGTCTTCTCTTATCTAGAAGAATGGGTGCTGCCTCAATTTTTCAACTCGCCTTATCTGGGAATCCTTTAAATTGAATATTTACTGGGCCTATGTTTTCTGCCTGTGTTAGCCTCTGAAGTCAACATTCCTCCTGCTTGTCAAGACAGGCCAAAAGGTTTTTCTCACTCATACAGTCTCTTTGTCTGCCTTGTCAAGTAATGGGACAGTGATTGATTGTGTGATTGCTGCAAGAGAATGGAAGGTTAAGCAGTTAAGCACAAAGCAGTCGAGACATATTAACGAATGTCCACAGAGGGAATGTGTTGAACAATAGAGAAATACTGTACATATAACCCCTAGAGCATGAAGTTTGGCATACCTTTGTTTAAAATAGATTAAAAAATTTATTTACAAACAGTCAATTGTTTTCTGCACACTGTACACTAGAAGTTAAGAGAACACTTAAGCAGCCATTGAAAACATCTTATTGCAATATGACTGGCTGTGGTCTATCTGCATAAACAAGCCGTGCCACAGCTACTCCCTGGTAAGTGTCTGGAAATGTCTTTTCAAAACCATTTTGTGAAATGCCTCCATGTTGGATTAATCAGCGCAGCTGAGGATGTAATTGCTGTGCTAAAGTCAAAGCTGTAAGAGCAGATAATGAACACTGACTACATGGCTGCCAGAATCCAGGGCAAAAGAAATGAGAAGTTTGGAGACTAAAATGGTTTCAGCAGTCTTTCACAAGCCCTGATAGAAAATGAAGGCACACTGTATTGAACCTGAATAAAACACATCTTAAAAAAGAAAGATATGACTCAATGGATAGCAACATGGACATGTAGTAGCAGCAGCAGCATCATGTTGTTAGAATGTAAAGGAAACTGGGGAAGATTGCAAATTATTTGAAGGGTTTCTCTCTTTACCTCTTTGAATTATTTTTTTCATTAATGTATGTGTTTGGTTACATGCGTGCATCTGAGAGTTTTTGAATCATGCCGGTTTTTGAATAATTCTCTCATATGATTTAAGAGCTAACGAACATGATGAATACCAAAAAGGATTTGTTCTGACTGTTGCTGCCCTCTGGTGGACAAATTCACTCCAAGTCAAATGTAGAAAGATGCATCCTGGTTCAGGGTTGCTGTTGCTGATATAAATTCGTCAGACATTTGCAGCACTAGCAACTGTGGGGTCAAAGATAAGACCACCATTATCTGACGAACTTTGTGTTTTAAAAATAAAACTGCAATTACAACAAGTAAATAGGAGCTATCTGCCATGCTATATTCTACACATTTAATTGAAATCTTACTGCCAGCTGCTATATTTTAATTCCAACAAGTACAAATCCTGAATTCTATGCTACTATTAACATTCTCTCCTCCAAATGAGAATGAGAGGGCCTCAGACTCAGTTAGGTTAAACAATTCAAATTTTAAAGGAGGTTGCCAGTATTTTGAGAAGCAAACCTGGTGATACAGACTCTTTAAAAAGGTATTTATGAGAAACGGGAAATGCAAGACTTGTGAAATAAGTAAAAATGGAAACACTACCCATGCACACACACATCGCTGACACTTACAGGTCTGTCCCAGTAAATATGTTCTTCGCTCTGTTTCAGTATCTAGTAAAAGGGTAGAGGCAGGACACATGAAGATAAATGCTTTAATGGTGAGCTGGATATGAATAAACCCTGGTTCAGCTTTTGTCCTCTGACCCTTCATGAAAAATGTCCATGTGGGGTATGTGTGTTAAATACTGTATAATGACTCAGAGTGCTACAGAGTACAAACAAAAACATAGAAGTGTTATGTGCCCTGCAGTGCTTCTGGGTTACATTATCATTGTTAGTCATGATCTATTCAGCCCTGAGTGATGAACATCTGCTGCCTCTATCTGTTATTTGTGTGATCAATATAATCACTGAAAAGACAGCGCACTGGTTTTCTTAAGCATCTCACACTGCAAGAAGCTAAAAAGCCTTCTGTACAAAACTTTGGATAAATAAAAGTGTAGCACTGTATATGCAACAGATATTTAAAAAGTGCAGCAACTGCATAGCTTTTCCTTCCCTGAGGAAGCTCACCACCAAAATA